GCCTTGACACCTCCAATTTCATGCAGTTTTCGTATTAAGTATCTCAATATCGTTACCAGGTTATTGATTATGTGTTAAAACAGAAGATGTGACACATTCTTACTTTGGAGTGAAAGAATAAAACTGGGTCAAAGAGGTTTATCTGGTTAAAGAGGTTTATCTATTGTTTATTTAGTCTTCCTTATCTATGCTATATTATAAAGCATTTGACAAAAAACTCTAAGAAACTATTTTGTATGCATAAATTACTGTTTATTGATGCATATTACTTAAAGTTTAAAATTACAAGTAAATTGTGCGTAAGTACAACTTATTAAAGCTCTGTTTTTTGAATTTGTATAACTAACTACAGATAAATATAATCAAATATAGGATAAACATCTAATTTTAAATATAAAAAATCTAAAATATAATTAAGATAATCTTTAATTATTATCTTTATAATAAAAAAGTTAAAGAAATTAAACAAAAAACGAGAACTTTTAAATACTTAATTTGATTCTAATATCGATATATTTTTTCAAGTTTTTATGGGATTTTCAAATTTATGTTTTATTCAAACATACAAAACTGTATTATAACATTGACAGAGACAAAGAATAAAAAAAAATATTGAAATCGAAATGTATCTCGATGCATTGCACGAGTACCCTTCTAGTCTATTTAAATAAACTATATCGTGAATATTCGTTCATTTATGTTCGTTTGTATATTAAATTTAATATATAATCTTTTATTTATTTAGTTTGAATTCAAATAGTATTTATTTAAGTTTTAACTTTTTAGACTTGTTCGTTTAGACCTATTCGCGTTTATGTTCGTTTAACCCGTTCGTTTAGCAGGATAACGAACGAACATAAACGAACACGAACACACCTGATTTTTAAACGAACGAACACAAACACAAAGATTTTCGTTCTTTTTCAATTCATGTTCGTTCGTTTGTCCAGTTAAGTTAAACGAACGAACATGAACAAGCCTATGTTCGTGTTCATTCGGTTCGTTTATAGCCCTAATTATTTGAGGTGTTACCCCAAATTGTTTTATTTTGTTTTAGTAATATAGTTTTTTTTAATCATATATTATACATAAAATATCAAATAAAATACGTCACATATCAATTTTTATATCCAATTTGCGTTTTTAACAAACAGTCAAAGAAAATAAATGCAACAACTTTGTTGTCTCACATAAAATATTGAATAGCTTCATAATTAATTTACCTTTTTTATTAAATATTTAATTAAATTATAAATAGACTTAATTTTATTTTCATTAAAAAAATACTTTATATATTTAAATAATCACTATATTTTTTTCTCATTTCAAAGGGGAACTCGGTATTGTGTGAGATCTGTAAGATCCAATCTCAACCATAAATTAAAGGTTAAATTTGAAAAATTAGTAATTTTGGTGATTTTGACTTGAAATTTTAACTAAAGGGTAGTTTAGGTATCTTAGAAATATTATCTCTCATCTCTTCTCTTTTTCTCTGATGTGAACATTTCATTATGATACCCACTGTAGATACGTTGTGATAATTCTTTTCATATATCCAGAGATATTTACTGATATCCATTATATACACGTTGTGATACCCACTGTAATATTTACTGATACGAGTATGATGCCTATGATACACGTTATAATATCGAAAATAGGTAACAATGTGTAGAATTATGTGTGTAAACGTAAAGGAGTAACAGGTAAGTTTTCTACGAGAAAATGAATGGCAAAGTGGAGATGACTTACGAATTTCATTGAAAAGCTGGACTTATTATTAGGGGTGTTCAAAAACCCGACCAACCCGATCAATCCACTTCAAACGTGAAATAACTCAACCCGATGTCTAATCGAGTTGTAAAATTTTCAAACCGTAGGTATTGAGTTGATATTAGGTTACTATTATTTGAACTCAACCCAACCCGATGTCTAATCGAGTTGTAAAATTTCAAACCGTAGTTATTGGGTTACTATTATTTGAACTCAATCCAACCCGATATCTTTTTGTTTGTTGGATTTAATATGATTGTTGAGTTCTATTAATATATACATTAGTTAATGACACTATCATGTACGCTCTTCATATATACATATTTTCAATCTATTCACATCTATATATAACTCATTCGTATATATGTCTGGTAACTATGAACATATATATGTAAATTGAGAAAATTAATTGAATGTGATATACGTAAGAATTATGGATAAGTTGTATCAAATGGTTGATGATGAAAAATAAATTATGAGTAGAAAAATAATATATTCGAGGTTATAAGAATATTTTAATGTACCAAAGTACTCAACCCCACTAACCTGACCAATCCACATGGTTTGGGTTGGGTTGGGTTGGGTTAAAAAAGTTTAAACCGCAAGCATTATGTTGGATTGTTCAAATATCTTCAACTCGATCAACCCAACCCATGAACATATATATATATATATGTAAATTGAGAAAATTAATTGAATGTAATATACGTAAAAAGTATGAATAAGTTATATCAAATGGTTGATTATGAAAATGTAATTATGAGTAGAGAAATAACATATTCGAGGTTATAAGAATGTTTCAATGTACCAAAGTCCTCAATCCAACTAATCTGACCAATCCGCGTGGTTTGGGTTGGGTTGCACTTTGGTTTGGATTGGATTGGGTTAAAAAAATTTAAACCGCAAGCATTAGGTTGGATTGTTCAAATGTCTTCAACTCGATTAACTCAACCTATGAACACACCTAATATTGATATTCATCCTACTCCTGGGGTTTTGAATATAAACATGGAAAGTGAGATGTAATTGAGTAACGGATTATGATACAAACAATAAAAGAATTTGCTCATTTATAATCTTAATTATAAAATTACTACTTTACCCTTAAATAAATAAAGTTAATTAAATTAAATCATTAGTTTATATTGGATCTCATAAAATATTGAGTTCTCATTTGATTAGAATTTTTTTATATATAATTGGGTTCAAGTGAGAATAAGAGTTAACATGAGAAGCGTAAGAATAGATCTTCAACCTTGAATTCACATTCGGATGAGATGCATCAGATTAATCCCTATATCAAGCACGATTCATAGATGAGTTTGAGATTAAAGGTGATTAAGAGTCTAGATATTTTCTTACATTTCTCACATTAACTCTCATTCTCACATTATCCTCCGCCTACATATGTATACACACACACACATATATATATATATATATAGGGTGCACATGCTCATAACATCCATACATGCATAAAAACCAAAAAACAACTTCAATTACTTGTATGCATACATACTGTCTAAATGAACGGTTATGAAGATGTTGCTCTGTTTTATAATTTTTTTTAAGGGTTTTCCTCTAAATCTCCATATATGTGTGTGTGTGTATATATATATATATATATATATATATATATATATAT